AGCAGATCGACACTCCCGCCCAATAATGCCTATTTAAGCTAACGTGCTGAGAAGATGCTGAGCATACATAAGGACGGAGGTAAGAAATGTTGATAAACACTGTCAAGAATGCTAAATAGAGTTTAAGATTGTTCTGGCAGTTATCAAGATAATTATGTCTTGCAGTTTATGGCCTAAGAAACGTAGGTGGTTTTCCTCTTAAAATTCTTTAAGGATAGGGTTCTGACGGACCCAAATCCAGCTGGCTTTGGCATACTCTAAAAGTTGAATCATGCATGTAATACAAAACATGCACATTACCTATACGGATCACGAGACAGTCTTAAATTGAAGAGCTAGCCTTAGAAAAAGTCTTATAACGTTCTTACTGGAAGATCACTTTTAAGGCTTCAATCATTGCATTAAATTGTGATCTTCATTAGAAGAGTGGGAAATTGAGGCTATTGGTAATGTCAGTTCTTCTTAACATGAGATGCAAGAAGGGTTTGTTTATTCTTTTTTAAAGTTATTCTTCACAACTTTTTGTGAACATGCTATAGGTGGAATATGCATGAAGCAATAAAAAAATGAAGACTTGGTTCATTGAGGTGTGAGAAAATAAAAGGCACTGACTGTGCAAAGCTGAGTACTCAGCATTGTCTGGATTTAGGTCCTGTTTCAGGCAAATCTCTAAAGCTTGCAGGGGGAGAAGAAGGAGAAAGATAAAGAAAAAATAAACACTTTCAAATTCAGAAATACATCCACTTTACCACTCGAAGCTTAATTCTTCTATCCTTGTTCATATTGAATGAAAATAATTTTAAAGCAGAAGATTGCAAAGTACGAGTGAATGTGTGTCAAGATGGTGGAAGCAGGCTCTTCTTCCACAGAAACCCTGAACAGACCCAGAAATCTGTTCAAACCTTATTCCACTCCAAGACCAGTGAAGTTCAGTGGGCAAACTTAAATGCATTTTTTGAACAGATTATATGTTATGCATCCAGTGTGATGCCTTTGGGGGGAATGAAAGAAAATTACCCTTTTGAGATTCAGTTTCCCTGCTTCTGGTCGTTCTGCATATACCACCAACGAGAAACTCTGGATGAGCTCAAAGCCGGTTCCAGTTACTGTAATATTTCTCCCTCCACTGAAAGGCAGAATTAAAAAAGAAGTCAAGTCATTGGCAAACTACCACAGCTATAGACTGCTTTATTCTGCACTGTAACTGCTTCCATTGAAAACAGCGACCTAATGCCTATATGACAATTAGATATCCTACACAAAGGACTTCCATTAAATCTATCGATGACCACAGCATTTAAAAGCAGCAATGTCAACTTCAAACTCATTTTAAAACAGCAGAATAAAAAAGTACAAATTGCTTTGTCAGTATTTGTGGCTGTTCATTGATGCCTATCTTTGTATGCTTTACTTCGCCAGTGTTTTTGTTAAAATCACTCCACCTACCACACACAGAGAGACAAAGGTGAGAGTGTATTTTCCACAGGTCTGTAGGGACCTGGCTTTTTATTCCCTTTCCTTTGCCACACATTGTTTAAAAAATAATGCATTTGCATAAGAAAAAGAATTGCATGCAAGTTGCCAGTGGGAATTAAAGTCATCAAAGTAACATGGATTTAGAGGGATAGCAATCCTCAAAGCAATCCATCAAAGTAAGCTTCAGTTTATATAGAGGAAAAAAAGAAGTCTTTTAAATTCCCTCCGGTAAATCACTATTGATCTGTCAAAAAAACCCTTCAGGCCCCAAAACCACCCAAAATCAAAATCAAAATCAAAATTAAAAACAAATCCTATTTTACAAAAGTGAGTACTCAATATTCAAGGAGGCAGGTACCAATTTCTCTACGAGAAGTCACAGCCAATTTTATTTTTAATGTCCTATTTGTAAGGTCGTGATCTTACACTTCTTTTTACTGAAAGAAAGTGGAAACATCATGATCTCTCTCTGCCAACTGTTCCCCACTAGGCAGAAAGACCAGAATATTAGGGAGCAACAGAGACCAACATGAGTCAAGGTCACAAGTTTGTCCCTGTATCGGTCACAGAATGGCTCTCACACCAGAGGTATGCTACAAGGACATTTATACAGACGATTTGCCATTTTGCTACAAATATGAGAGTGGCATACCTTTCTTTGGTTTCACAATTAGTACTAGGTGAGCTTTTTTCCAGAAGGAGCACCTACCAGATGGGGTGTTAATGAGTACCACCATAGGAGAGAGCATATGTTTTAAAAGCCTTATTGAACCCTGATCTAGATTTCCTAAAGAGATACTTTTTTTCCTCATGGGATAAAGAGATGACAAGCCATAACTTTCCTCTCTTTCCAGCTTACTTATTAAAAGCTGAACAGAAGAATTGTTAGAAACCTTTTATATCATTTTCAGATGATGATCTCTCCTTTAGACAGGATAAGGATTTGTGAGTAATGCAAAGATCATGTTGTCTGACATCACGCTGAAATGCTTCAAATCTCTTTCTTTGAGACATCTTCATTTAAAAGAAGCTCATTACCTTTTCTGGTTTCAGGATTTACCTTTGAAGTGGGGATTAAAGTTTGGAGGTAAACAGAATACTTTCAAACATCAGCTGCAGTTAAGAAAGATCACAAACTCTACGTATCTAAATGTGTGCATGGCTAGAGTACAGGAGTTTTTATTTCAAACAGTTCTATATGTAATAGGTTTATTACATATTACACATATTTTAACATAATGTAGTTATGACAAATATTTCATTACCTGCTGAAGCTATTTACTGGCAGGAACTTGGTGACAGTAGGGTTCTCACTGTATGAAAACAGCTTTGGTACACTAACTGCCATGCCCCCATAGTCCATTGTGACTTCAACAGCTTCAACTTTGCTATTAGGTCCTGTAATACAAACGATCTCATCTCCAAATTCAGTGCTAGATTGTAGAAGAAAAAGAAGAGGCAACATCTTCAGTTACTAACATTATGGTGATTTGTATTCTTCATGGTAGTACCCCAGAAGCAACAAAAAAAGGGCTCTATTTTTGCTAGGCACTGAGTAGTTACGAGAGGAGAAAACTCTTTCTCCAGATCACTTAAGATCCTTAGAAAAGATACAGGATATGAAAAGGAATAGTGTACAAACACAAGAACAATGCAATGTCAGCACACGTCATGTAATTTCTTTCTTTGGGGGGAGAGAAGGGCAGCAACTAATAAGAGGAAAAATAAGTGAGAGGAACAAGCCGAAGGGCTTTTATATGGAGCCACTGAGGAGATGCTGAGTGAAAGCATGGGTAGGTTTGGAGCAGCCAGCCAAGCAGAGAAAGCCAAAACTGGAAAATTCTTTGGATATCCTAGTTCTCCACTTTGGTTGTTTTTACAGCTGCCTCTTCCAGCTGGAGCCTCTGAGAGAGTTTCTGTCTGAATGTTACGTGCAGAGCTCCATTGCATGGGATGAGTCATGAAGAGATAAGACAATGGATTTGTGTAATTTCTAGAGGCCAGAAAAGGTTGGTGCTTTGTTAGGATACAGCTCTGTATTGTTAATTACTCAGGGTACGTACACATTGCAAGGCTGGCTACCAACTGAAACTTGAACATCCTTCTTGGAACCAGTGGCCAGGTTTGTACCACTGATGGTAAGTGTGGTTCCACCCGCTTGTGGACCGCTTTCAGGTCTGATTCCAGAAGGATGAGGTTTCTGCAAAGAGAAGATGGTCAAACTAATTAGGAAAATTAAAATAAAATTTACACCAGTATTAATTGGTATAATAGCTAATAGAATATTACTAGAATATTTAATATTACTACCTGAAAAATTGTAAAATTAAACTAATGATGGACAATTCTTCTAAAATAAAACAAAATCCACGCTTAATGAAGAAGTAACAGATGATGTGACTGTATTTATGTTTTTTCCATACTGTATTTTACAAGGCTTTATATGAATTTAAATTTCCTGCATCCCATTGCAATACGTAGAGTTAGCTGCTGTTAAGTTTGTCAGAGCTTCCTGTTGGATTTCCTGTTTTTATACTTATTTTAAGATTTCTCTTTTCCTTATGGATGAGCCTACCTTCTTTTTTCCTTGCCCTTTCTTACATTCTGCCTCAGCTACAGGAGAAACAGAGCAAGGTTTCCAAAACTGGTACCGAGCAGAAAGAATATTCAGATTCCATTTGTCTCTTAAGGCTCTTAATTGCAGTATAATTGTTATCCCTTTCTTGAGCAATGAGCTTGCAAAGAAGGAAAATCAGAAAACGCTACAATTTTCCTTGTGCACCTAGAACCTTGGAGAGGATTCTTAAAATCAATTGAAACAAGCAGACATGCTTGAAATTGTTATGAAATTTGCTGGAAATTTTAATTTCTCAAATAAGTTCCCTCCTTTTGTTCTCAATTCAGTCTTTGTTTCCATGATTGTATTCCGGGAGCTATGACAAATACTGTAAATTAACAGTGAGGGCTTTTCATGAACAGTGCGATTTAATTACTTCATCTCTAAGTAGTCCCTGCTTCCAGATGAGAAAAGCATCCTTATTCAGGACAACACTGAAGCTGCTGAATCAAGAGGATGACCGAAGCCACGCAAGCTGCACGAGGTGGGTTACCAGCCGGCTCCAGGCGAGCGCTGCCTGCCAACTCCATGGCCTGTGGGGCATGGGCTGCCGGGATGGCGGCAGACGTGCCGCAGCCCTCCCTCCGGGGCAATAGCTGTTGTGCGTGCAGGCAGCAGGGTGGTCCCACGCAGCCAGCTGCCACGTGCACCACCACAGGATGCCAGGTCCAAGCGTGTGGCAGGGGCATTGCCATGAAGGACCCTGCCTTTGCTAAAGCATACCAGATCAATGGCTTAGGGAGGCTGTGAATAGGTAACGCCTTTTCTGATGTGTAACTGTGCTTCTTCATCCATATTTAAACACAAGCTTTCCTTAAATGAGTCAAACAAGCAATCAGCTTATTTTCCAATCTCATGTATATTTGTAAATGACATCTGCTCTCCTCCTCCTCTTGCATAATCTTGCTAAAATGGTTGACTGACAATAAAGTCCAGACTTGGGGCTATTCCGTATGAAGCATATGCAAATAAAGGAAGAGCAAAGAAGTTTGAAAACTTCCCTTGCTGATGAGGGTTTCCCTGATCACCATCACACTGCTCTGATCTCCCACTCTAAGGAGGAAAAGCCTTGCTCAGAAACAGAGAGCAACAAGTCCACACCTTACTAGTCATATAGTAAAAACCTTTTCCCCGTGTCATTTTGCTCAGGCACAGACTGCCATCTCTGTGACGGCTTACAGCTACAAAACCGAGAGCCCACAAATGGCAGGGAGGAGGGGGACTGATATACCGCAGTTCAGTTCAAAGCTCGGTGAGCCATCGACAGGGTTTTAACAAGCAGCCGGAATCC